GGGTAGCTACATCTTCAAAGGTGGCTGTGATGTTAGCTTGGGGACTGGGGTGTTCAAATAGGTGAAGCCAATGAATTGTACATTTTACTACTGGGGGAAAGATCTAGACACCAGAATCACAGGGTAAGTAACCCAGCTTTTGCCAATTACTTCAAGCACAGAACCCATCTCTTCTGAGCTAGTGCTGACTTTAAAGCCCAAACTGATTATCCTTTGGGATGTCAAGAACTACCTTAATTTCTAGGGAGAACAGAGAAAACTGGCAGTGTGGGGAGATGTTTCCTTCAACAAAATCTTCTCCTTACCTACTGCAAAAAATTTTAAATTCAAGATTTGAGGACCAAACAAGATGGCTCCCCAAGTAAAGGCACTATTAGCTGTCAAGCCTGACAAACTGAATCCAACCTTTGGAACTGACATGATAGAAGGAAAAGTCTCCAGAACCTTGTCCGATAACCACACACATATTCACACTAAATAAATGTTTAAGCATTTTAAGACTTCAGTGTGTCTGGTAGGACAGACCCAGTTTTTGTGGAAGAGGCAATGATACCCCAAATTCAAAACCAACTCAGGTAACTTGAAAAGCAAAATGAGTGGTTGGAGAGATGACTCTGATTACAAGTACTTAACGCTATCCTATTGCCAAGTATGTTCCCAGTACGTACACAGTACCCCATAAACACCACTAACTTCAGTTCCAGGGATTCTGATGTATCTGGTGCCCTAGATATGTGCATGTGGTACACATATATTCAGGCAGGTTCACAACACATACACATTAAAATGGAAAAAGAAAACTTGCAGAGCGTGGTGTCACATGCTTTTAAACCCAGCACTGGGGAGGCAGAAGCAGGTGGATCAAGGAATTCAAGGCCAGCCTGGTCTATGTCACAGAGAAACCGACTTGAAAAAATAAAAATAAAAAAACAAAAAAAAAAAAAAGAAAAGAAAAATCTTAAAACAAAAATCGTTGGAAATATCTTTAATCTTAGCACTTGGGAAGCAGAGGGAGATGGATCTCTTGAGTTTGAGGCCAGCCTGGTCTAGAGAGCAAGTTCCAGGATAGCCAGAGCCACACAGAGAAACCCTGTCTCCATAAAACAAAAACAAACCAAAAAATGAAACGGGGCCCTTGGCTCAATTCCCTGCATTGCGTAATTGGGTATGAGGTATGTGATGCCTGTTAACTCCAGCATTTGGGAAGCAGAAGGATCAAAAATCTCAAGGTCATCTACAGCTATAAGTTTAAAGCTGGTCTGGGCTACATGAGACCTTGTCTCAAAAATACAAATATTTTTAAAACTGAAGTGATGCAGCCTATGCTTATAGCCCCAGGCCACAGGAAGAATTCAGCTCAGAAGTTCAAGACCTGAATAAGTAACAAAGTTGAGACTACATGTAAAAAAGAAAACTCAAAGTTTCTAATTACTTCAGAAAGAAGCTCAAATAGGAGATTTCAAGAATAAGATACGGAGGAAGATGGTTCTACCTTTGAAAGCTGCAGCAGGCATACTGCATACCCTCACAGGGTCGAAAGCGAACATTTATTAAGGCTCCTGCTGTTTGAGTATTTAGTGGCGTCGTGCTTTTTTTCCTAAAGTGATCAATCATTTGCTTTCAGAGTACAATGTAGGAAATTCTACAAATAATTTACATAGGTTAAAATCAAACAATGAAACACTAATCAAAGACTGTTAAGCTGCTGTATTAGTACCAATGGAATCAAGGTTGAGGTAATGGGGACCAAATCCAGGGCTTTGTGCATCCTACACAAGTACCCTACCTCTGAGCTACACCTCCAGCCTATTAATATAGATTTGTATCTGATAAGAGGTAAAACTCTATGAATAATTCAAAGATGAAAAGTGATCCCTAGCTACTAGTCAAAATTTCTAACTTTGCCTCAATTACCTAAAAAGCAGTCATCGAGAAGGCAAGCTAGGTGGTGACTACACAGTGATTACACAGTCTCAGAGGTCAACAGCTTTCAAGACTTTCAAAAACTGAGCTTTCCCATTTACACTGAATAAGGTAAAACATAGCAACAATGAATTGGTTCAAAAACTATCAAGAACACAACAGTTTTGTTTAAGTAAGGGTATAGTACCGAGAGAAAGGCTTTAAAAAAAAATTAGACAAGATCTCATATATTCCAGACTTTCAACCCGTAAGCCCGTACTCCCAAAGTGTTGGGATAACTTATGCTCAGTCTAGACAGACTTTTATGAAAAGTACAGAGAACATGGAGAAAGTCAGTTTTCACATAAGAGCATATACAATACAGGGGAACAGGAACCTGCACCAGGGGTATGCTGTGGGACAATGGTATGTATATACCCTGTCACTTGTATTTTTAAAAAATGCTGATTGGCCAGTAGCCAGTCAAAATGTATAGGCAGGGAGACCAGGCAGGAAGTAGAGGCGTGGCAATGAGAATTCTGGGAAGAGAAAAGTTTCAGTCTACAGTTGTCACCCAGACACAGAGGATGCAAAAAAGGTACCAAGCCATGTGGCTAACAAGAATAAAGGGTTAATGTAAGATGTAAGAATTAATTAATAAGGGGCTGGAGAGATGGCTCGACGGTTAAGAGCATTGCCTCTTCTTCCTGAGTTCAATTCCCAGCAACCACATGGTGGCTCAAAACCACCTGAAATGAGATCTGTTGCCCTCTTCTGGCCTGCAGGCAGACACACAGATAGAATATGGTACACATAATAAATAAATAAATATTTAAAAAAAGAATTAATTATTAAGAAGTTTAAGCTAATGTAGACCTCTGTGTATTTCTTTGGAACTGAATGACTGCAGGACCTGGCAGGATAGAAATCTCAAGTCAACCGGGGTATATTCCACAGTTCTAAAAGTCAAAGTAGTAGGAGTGAAAAGGAAGACAAAATACATCTATAATTCAGAAGAGCCAGGAACAGAAGAAAATTCTATTGAGACTGACTCACCTCCAGTAAGAGTTAAGGAGTCCTATACTGAGTCAAATCAGAATTTCTCCTTAACTATAGACAAGCGGCAACAGATAAGCATTCTGATTATAATTTAGAAATAAAATATTTCTCCTGGCAATCTGAAAGCTCAAAATAATTGGTTGAGGCAAACAAATGGCTCAGAAAGTGGGACTGGATGAAGAAAAGAAATACTTCTACCATTAAGTCAGTGCAAAAAAGTCTTAGTCCCTGGTCATATTTTCCTTTTTACCATAACCTTCCTGTTCCCCATCATCACCATTATAGCCCTGCTAAATCCTTGTCCTAGACAAAGTAAAAGCTAGCAGGACAATGATCCCTTTGACTACTGGCCAGTAATAAGAGTGTGCAAATATCTGAAATGGTCTTACCAAGATATTGCTCTGAATATAACTTGACAAAACTGTCTAAACTATTAAGACCCAAACAGAAACCTGTAACTTTGACATGCCTTTGTAACCACTGCCTTACCAAAATAAAGTAAACCTTTAGACACCAGAGAAATCTTCTGTGAATCCTGAGTGACGTTTGTATTCTTATAGTGAGATGGGATTCACAAAACAAGTAGACCAAAAGTGTCTCATATTCTAACTACATTCACTGACCTAATATTGTCTGTGACCATCCAAACATTTCATTTGGCACTTGCACAATAAGATGACAGCTTTTATTTAGCACAAAAATACTCAAAGCACTCTTATAAAAATTACCCACACTATGACCTAATAAATGGTAATCAGCTAGCATCTCTCTGAGATGAAAGGTAAATAAGAATGGGCTTTCAAGAGCTGTGCAACTGAACCCAAAGTAAGTAGCAGTGTTAATAGTAAAAATTGGATACAGTCAATGGCAGAGTAACTATTACGTGCAAGGCAAGGGGCCCACTGAAATAGACAGACACACATAGCACCCAAAAACTGAATTTCCACCTGCCTATAATAGCAATTATACATGGTGATTTCTGGTTAGAGTTCAATCCTAAATCTTTCTCTCAGCCGGGCAATGGCGGCGCATGCCTTTAATCCCAGCACTTGGGAGGGAGAGGCAGGCGGATCTCTGTGAGTTCGAGGCCAGCCTGGTCTACAGAGTTGAGTTCCAGGCCAGGCTCCAAAGCTACAGAGAAACCCTGTCTCGAAAAACCAAAAACAAACAAACAAAAAATCTTTCTCTCACAACCAGTAATACAGCATTCCTGAAATGTTTGTAAGCTGCCAGCTGCTAACCAAGAGATTTTTAGCAGGCAAGTTGAGATGGAGGAACAGTGACACTGAGAGATAAGACAGGGGAACAAGTTTAAAACCAAAAGCAGTGGACATTTATTCCTCATTTTTTGTGCAAGAGTGTAAAGATGCATTTCAAAGAAGCTGATGACTAGAGAGCATCAGCCAGGGCCTTCAGGCTGGCCGGGTTTACAGTTAGGTTAGGAAAGGGGTGAGGGCAGGTAACTTGCCTAGTTCACACGAATGTTTCTGGGTAACAGTTTACAAATTTCAAACTACATTTTACTAGAGTCAAGGGAAGACTTGAATAAGCCACATACAGTACAATTTAAAACCAATGAACATCCTGCAAATGTTAGTGCAAAGTAATTATGTAGACTCTCCAATACAAGATTGTGCTCATGTTTCCCAAGTTTGGTCAGTTATTCTTTTATGATTACAATCACAGAGGCTTAACTTATCAAACAGCAACACTGTTGTGTTCTACATCCTATGTACCAAGAGACTATCACAAGGTTTTGGTGAAATGCTGCTCAGTTTCATAACAAAGCAAATTTATTTAGTTTAACAGTCATGTTCCTGGAATGGTGCACATAGGTTTCATGAAAATGCCTTTAAGCTTATGCCTCTATCTTATTTAATAAAATTACTCTCATATCTTTTTTACTATGTAAACTGGAATTGTTTCATGATTTTGAAATGCAACAAATATAAATGAAAACATTTCAGGGATGAGGAAAAAATCCACCACTAATCTTAACTAGACAAACTTTTAAAATCAAAAAGCCTATTCACACAAAATTATATGTAATGACTGTAGTAATCAGTTTATTACACAGATTAATCATTCTTGAACGTACAAGCTCCAGAGGAGCAACTGGGTCTTTAAATATACACAAGTATTTCCATCAAATGAATTTTCACCCTTACATCGAAATAGGCCTAAAGCAGTTAAAAACATAAGAAAAATAAGAGCTATTAGCTATGTATTAACTGAGAAACCACATACAAACCAGAGATTATGGAAAGGGGCTAAAAGGAAGAAGGCTGAAAGGGCAGGGAGATGTGAAAGTGTTGGGAACAAAGTCCACCACACTTTATGTACTAACAGCTCCAGTCCATTTAAATGTTGGTCAGTCAAACTCAGACCTTAAATACAGCGTGTAGGCAGAGTCTAATCTGTTTGGTCATAACATTCACCTAAGTTGTAGGTCCTTCAGGGTGAAATGAATACAGAAACAGCTTCATGTTCTTCACCGTGCTTTTTATGACTGTTTGAGATTAGATGGGTTCCACTTAAAAACAATCTCCTACGGGTCACTGGAGCTTTTTTCCTCCCATCAAGCAAACACTGTGTACCCACTACCCCTCACATCTTGCCATTATCCAAATTTAGGTCAATAAGGAAAGCTTTTAGTCTCACACCTAGGTTATGCCCGGAGAACTGGCTTCTCACACACACACTTCTCTGCTAGGAGGCAATGTTGGTACAGAAGTACAGTATTTCTAGTTTGTTGTTCCAAGTATGTACAACACGCAGCACTGCTGTGTCAGGTAAACATGTGCACAGGGGAAGATGAGGCGTGGGCTCATAGAAAGCAGTCAAATGGAAATCAAAAGGACTTTCTCTTTCAGAGTTCCCCTAGCTTTATTTGTAGAGGTTATCCAATAATTTCTTTAATTACATCGCATACTTCTGAGTCCATTCCCGAGCTATTCTGTTGTACCTGTACACACACAAAGAGAACTTGGCTTAAGATAGGTAAGGAGTCAATGAGCAACACATTTCATTCATTATCCCAATTAGTAATTTTAGGGCAATAACTGAAAACACTAAAGCAAAATCACCTTTCCCCCTCCAATTTCTTTCACACATACTCCCCTTACTCTTTCAGTCCCACCCCCCTTTTTGAGCTAGGGTCTCACTTCAGAGCCATGGCTGGCCTTGGACTATCTAAAACTAGGATGGATGGCCTTAAACTTGAGGCAATCCTCCTGGGTGCTGCCATTACAGGGATGTACCATGACCTAGCTTTACCTCTAATTACAAATAAGCCTATATTCATAATACAGTGAGATACTGCTGTAAAAGTCAAAACGATGTCCTATAAATGCAGTATCTAGAGGATTCAAGTCAAGTTTAGAATTTGCTGATATCTTTTTTTTTTTTTTTTAATTCCCGAGACAGGGACTCTCTGTGTAACAGTCTTGGATGTCCTGGAAGTCAATTTGTATATTTGTAGACCAGGTTGGGGAACTCAAGAGATCTGTCTGCCTTTGCTCCTGAGTGCTGGAATTAAAGTTGTGTGCCACCAACATCTGGCTTCCATCCTATGTTTCTGACTGACCTTCAACTCAGTGCAGCCAAAGGCAACCTTAAACTTGTAGTCATCCTAGCTCTGGAGGGCTATGGTATGTGCCAAAACATCTTAAGATTTTTTTTGACTATGTAATTCTACATTATATGGTTCTTAAAATCATTTAACAGTAATTTCCAAAAATTGTCTCAAACAACACATAAAAATAAAAAAAAGAATGAGACCAGCCTGTACTAATAGACTTTTGTCTCACAAAAATATAATAAGGGAGCTAGAGACTTGCTGTTAAGAGACTTGCTACTCTTAAGGAGGAATTCATTCTGTGCCTAGCTCCTGCATGGTAGGTCACAACTATCTGTAACTCCAGTTCTGGAGATCCAACTCCTTCTGGACTCTGTGAGTACCAGGCACCCATGTGGTACATACACATATATGCAAGCAAAACTTTCACCTATTCATACACATAAAGTAAACATAAAAAATTACAATGAAGTTTGTATGGTGTTGTACTTCTTTGGTTCCAGCACTTGGAAGGCAGAGGCAAGTAGATAAACCTGTGAATTGAAGGATACCTTGGTCTACACATTCCAAGCTGCAGGCCAGCCAAAGGTACACAGTGAGACCCTGTCTCTAAACAAAACCAAATAAAACCCTACAAAAAAATAGAATGACACAATATCATCCTTTATATTAATAAAACAATTATTTGGCATGGTTTACTTCAATAATTTATATAATAAAAATATTGCTCCATAAAAACATTTCAGTAACAGGGAAGACTGTAAAAGTCTAGAAGGATAGTACTTAGGGTAAAGACAGTTAAACAATGAATCACGAGGCTAGCCTCAGCTACATGGGACCATCACAAAACAACAAAACAAAAAGAGAGGACAAAGGAATAGGAACCAATCACTAGGCATGATAGCTCATACTTGAAAATCTGGCATTTGGGAGGCTGAGACAAAAAGACAGTGAATATGGCGGCAAAGGCTACAAAGCTAGACTGTCTCAAAATGTGTACATATGTGTGTACACAGGTTTGACAAGACATCCTACAGCCCCAGCTACCAAAGAGACTAAAAGGCAGAAAGGTCATTCTATTACAGGAATTAAAAGCCAGATTGGACTGCATAGTGAGACTCTATCTCAAAAACAACCAAAACAAAACAGTAGGCAAATCTGTGAGTTCGAGGACAGCGTGGTCGACAGAGCGAGTTCCAGGGCAGGTAATAAAGCTACACAGAGAAACCCTGTCTCAAAAAACAAACAAAAAAAACCCACACAAAACCAAAATAAATTTCATTTTAAAAAAGATGAACATCAGCACGATGAGGACTTAGGATACCTTTCTGATAAACATCCATAGCCACAATTTATACAAAATGGTTCTCCAATCAAAGCATTCACTTATGTATAATATCCAAAACAAATAAATACTGCAGCTAATGTTTGGGGACATACACCTTTAACTACAATATTTGGGAGGTAGGGGCAGGTATATTTGTCAGCCAAGACTTTTTAGTGAAACTCTGCCCCAAAAATAAATAAATAAATAAAAATTAAGCTGCAGGGCCTGGAAAATGGCAGGCAGATGACTCAGCAGTTAAAGATCACCAGCTGCTCTTCCAGAGGATCATTTACATGGTACTTTACACCCATCTAATGACAGTTCTAGGGAATCTGATGCCCTCTTCTGGCCTCTGGACAAACATGCAGGCAACAAGCATACACACAATATTTAAAATTTTTTAAATTCTGCCAAAATACATGATTATAGATGCTACTCAGACATAAAACACTTTTAAGAATTAGTGCCAGAATCCCCCATTCCTGATGTAGCTCCATTAATATCACCATCACCAACAAAACCCAATCAATCATCTACGATTTTTGTTGTTTATGATTTGTTTTTTGATTCTGTTGTTTGAGATGGGTATCATATTCACAATTCTACTCCAATATTTTGCCTAACTATATCTATGAATTTTCTAATACAACATATTTTAAGTAATCATGTACTATTTTGTTTCTAATTAGTTAAGAGATAGGGTTTTACTCAAAAGAGATCTACATGTCCCAGCTTCAAAGAACTGAGATCAAAGGGATGAACTACACAGTCAGCTATTTGTTTAAGGGGTTGTTACTTTTTGTTTTGTTTTGACAAGACAGGGTCTCTTTCTATAGCCCTGACTGTCCTGGAACTCACTCTGTAGACCAGGCTGGCCTCAAACTCAGAGATATACCTGCCTCTGCCTACAGAGTGTTCGCATCAAGGGTGTGCGCCACCACCGCCCACTGGCAGACAGATCTCTGTATTCAAGGCCAAGCTTGTCTACAGAGCCAGGGTGGTCAGGACTACAGAGAAACACTGTCTCCAACGTAAAAAATAGAACAAAACATAAAGCATCTAAGTTCTCCTATATGATTCCAATCATAATCTCACTGATATGATACATAGAATTAAAAAATGATGAGTTCGAGGACAGCCTGGTCTACAAAGCAAGTTCCAGAACAGTGAGGACCATTACACTGAGAAACCCTGTCTCAAAAAAACAAACCCTGTCCCAAATAAAAATAAAATCCTTTCATGTATTCCTTGTGGAGTTTATCTTAAACATTCAGTCCATACACCAACGTTATAAGGAAGTTTTGAGACAGCTCCAACCCGCACCTGACAGGGGATACTTACTTTTCTCTATCTGTTTTGTAGATCCGAGCAATCTCAGGCACTAAAGGATCATCTGGATTGGGATCACACAACAGAGAACAGATGGACAAAAGTACTAGGGTATTAAAAAAAAAAAAAGTATATGTTAGTAGAAGACCAGAGCAAAGGGCTTAAACATGAGAAGCTGGGCAGCATCAGGAGACAGGGATAGGTAAAGAGATGGATCTCTGAGAGTTCAAGGCCAACCAAGGCTGTATAGTGAGACCCTGTTTCCAAGGGAAAAACAAACAACGACCCCCCCCACTGTCAACCTGAGATGCTAACCAATATTAAGAATAGAACTGAGAATGCAGATAACTTAATGATGGAAAGCTTGCATAATGTGCATGAGGTTCTGTTCTGAGTTCAGTTATTAGCAGAACAAAAGCTCTTCTAAACCCTAGATTGAGAACATTTGTCAGTGCCAGTGAACTTCAATTTTTAGAAGCTCAAGTTTAGAGAAAATCAGTTGTCAAATTTCCAGCAACAGACAAGATTAGTTGTCTGACATCACCCACCAATACAAGGAAACTTCAAGGACAGCTCAGGATAGAAGAAATTGTCTCAAAAATGAAATAACCCGCACTGTAGAAACTAAGGCAGGCACATTGCCACAAGCAGAAACCAGTCTAGACTACAGAGTAAAACATTGTCTTAAACAACCTACCAACAGCAAAAATAATCAAACAGGGCACCAGTGAAATGGTGCAGGTAAAAAACTTGAACAGACTGCCAAGCTAAGTTTATTCCTGGAACCCAAAAGCGGAAGGAGATAACAAAATCCATGAGTTGTCCTTTGATCTATATGCAGTTATGCAGTGCTTTTTGCACCCCACCCCACAGACATTAATAAGTAAATAAAGTCAAACAATCACATCATTCACCTTTTCAGTGGTAGTTGGCTTATTTACACTTTTAAGGCAGTACTTCACTCTATATCAAGTTAGCCTCAAATTTGCTATGCAAGAATAATTTTGAACACTAATCATTCTGCGTCCATTTTTCAAATATAGAATTACAGTGTATATACACTATAACAGGCTTCTACCTATTCTTGAGTATCACAATCAACAAGTTGGCCATTATACCAAGGAATATCTATTCTTGAAAAATCAACCCCTTGGGGGCTGGAGAGATGGCTCAGCAGTTAAGAGCACTGCCTGCTCTTCCAAAGGTCCTGAGTTCAATTCCCAGCAACCACATCGTGGCTCACACCCATCTGTAATGAGGTCTGGTGCCCTCTTCTGGCCTGTAGGCATACACACAGACAGAATATTGTATACATAATAAATAAATATTTAAAAAAAAAAAATCAACCCCTTTCCACTTGTATCAACAAATACTACTACAGACTAATGAAGATTGGCTCAGCAGTTAAGAGCACTGACTTCTCTTCCAGGGAAGCCAGGTTCAATTCCCAGCACCCACATGGCAGCTAACAACCATCTAACTCCAAGATCTGACACCCTCACACTGACATACATGAAGGCAAATAAAATTTTGAGAGAGAGAGAGAGAGAGAGAGAGAGAAAGAGAGAGAGAGAATATGAAACAGGAGCTATAAAAAATAAAATAAACTGGGGCTGGAAAGACAGCTATGCAGTTAGGACCGCTGGCCACACAGGACCCAGGTTCAATTCCCAGTACCCCAATAACAGGTGATTCAACACTCTCTTCTGGCCTCTAGGGGAACCAATACCAATACCAATACCAGGCCATACATACATTAATGCAAAACACTCACACATAAAGTAATTTGAAAAACATATAATTTTTAAAAAGATAAACCAATAAACAATAAAATCAATTATTTCACCTTGACATCAAACAACTATTCCATTACCTTTTGAAATAGTTAGTGCTGGAGACCACTGTGATCGTAGAATATCAAGACAAATGCTGCCATTACTGTTAATATTTGGATGATAAATTCTTGTTGTAAATGCAACCTAAAGAAAAAGAAATCCTTATGATTGATTTACTAGATTCATACAGAGCATATTAAAAGCAATTATCATATTCCAAATACCTTAGGTGGTTTGAAGGGGTAATCTGTTGGGAAATGAATTGTCAAGAAAAACACTCCACCTTGATAGGGGCTGTCATTCTGTTGATGATAAGAAAGTGAGATTTAAAATAAATAAATTACATAAAGTAAGTATTAAGGAATTAAAGTGAATACTTACTGGCCCCATTATTGTAGCCTGCCAATGAAACACTGAAAAAGAACAAGAAAAAGAAAAATATCATGTTAAAGGTATTCACATCACACCTATACTGTAGAAACCTATCACGACTACCTAATCAAAGTTCATTTATGCCAGGCAGTTGTGGCCCACGCCTTTAATCCCAGCACATAGAGGCAGAGGTGGGTGGCAGAATGGTCTACAGAGCGAGTTCCAGGACAGCCAGGGCCACACAGAGGAACCCTGTCTGGGGGGAGGGGGAAGGAGGGGAGGTGAAATGGGGTGGTGAGAGACTACAACAAACACCAAAGTTCATTTACAAACGTATGATAACGACCCACCACCACCACCATAGGGTTTCTCTAACAGCTTTAGCTGTCCTCAAACTCACAGAGATCCATCTTCCTCTGCTACACGAGTGCTGGGTTTAGAGGAATGTACTACGCCACTGCCTGGCAATAATGACTATTTTCTTTTTACAATTTACTTAATTTTATTTTATGGACATGGTGTGAGGGTTTCAAATCCCCTGAAACTGGAGTTATAGACAGCTGTGAGCTGCCATGTGGGTGCTGGGAATTGAACCCAGGTCCTCTGGAAGAGCAGTCAGTGTTCTTAATGCTGAGTCATCTCTCCAGGCCAATGACTGTTTTCTACGGGCAGGATGAAGACTAAACCAGTTGTGATCTCAAACTACTGAAAAATACACACACACACACACACACACACACACACACACACACACACACACAC